CTTAGCCACTATGCTACCAGAGCTCCTAAAGTACATAGTAGAAAATTAAAATGCAAACATTATTTCATTAATATTTAACGTATCTTTTTTATAAAATCGAGAGTTCTTAAACATGCTCTTTGCCATGTGGATATACTATATTCAGTTCTATTTCATATATATATGTCATATTCCTAGATAGATCATATTAGAATTGTGAGAGTGGGGTCAGGAAAAGGCAGATTTCCTTAAATTTTAGGTCTTTTCTATCTGGATATTTGGAATTATCCAGTGAAGCCAGCAAAGCAAAGTCTGTTTTCCAAAAGTGAGTAAGTTGAACTTGAAGGGATTTGCACATGCCATAGAGTTAGTAGGTAGTAGAGTCATGTTCTGGTTCATTCTCCCTTTTTATCATCTCTGCAGTAACTCTAGGAGTGGTCTTAAGGTCAGCTAACCAGACTGACAAGATTTCTATAGCCCACATTTAGAATCATTCTATTCAGAATGCTATAAGGAAGCACAAATAGGTAGCAAGACAGTGTCAGGCATCCATCATCACATAGTTACCTGAGAGTTATCTCCCCCTACATTACGGTTTAGGGGCAAGAATGTGAAATTCACATTGGCTGTGGACAGGAACTGCACTGAATTTAAGACCTCATGCCCCATAGTAGTCAGTATCACTTGCAACAATTCCAAAGACATAAATTTAACTTTAAATTTAAAATTTAAATTCAAAGATTAAGTTCTTAAATTTAATTTAAAACATAGGATCTCTGGTGGCGCTGTGGTTAAAGCATTGGGCTGCTAACCAGGTTGGCAGTTTGAACCCACCAGCTGCTCTGTGGGAGAAAGGTGATGCAGTCTGCTTCCAAAACTCTTTATAGCCTTGGAAACCCTGTGGAGCAGATCTGCTCTGTCCTGTAGGGTTGCTGTGAGTTGGGATCAACTCAGTGGTGATGGATGAAAAGAAATCAAAGGTATACAGATTCTCAATGAAAGAGTAAGAAGTCTTTATTCACCTATGACATGATTATATTTATAGAAAGTTCTACAGAATTCATAGAAAAACCTCTGTAGCTAAAGTGAACTTTATAAAGGTTACAGGATAAAGTCCAGTATATAAAAATCAGTATAAAAATGAAGAAAAAATGAAATTTAACAGAAAAATACCATTTACAATTCTAAAAAATAACGGAATTTTTGAGGATGAACTTAAGGAAATATATGATGCAAATAATTAAAGAATACCACAGTAAATGGAGAGAAATAACATGTTCATCAATCAGAAGACTCAGTATTGTTTAAGATAGCAGTTCCTCCCAAATTAATCTGGTAATTCAACATAATCCCAACCACAATCCCAACAAGGTTTATACATATTTTAGAATATATATACATATATCTATATCTATATAACTTTAGAATATATACAGAAAGAGAGAAAACAGCTCTTGTGGTGCAATGGTTAAGCACTTGGCTGTTAACTGAAAGGGCAGTTCAAACTCTTCAGAAGAAAAGACCTGGAGATATGCATCTATAAAGATTACATCCAAGGGATCACTATGAGTCAAAATCCACTCAGTGGCACCTAGCAACAACATAAATTGACAAATTGATTCTAAAATTTATATGGAACATTGGCCAAATATTGGTGAGAATTTGTAGCAACTGAAATTATCACGTTATGCTGATGGAATATAAAATGTTTCAACTAATTTAGAAAGCAGTATGGCCATTTTTCATAGAGTTAAACATATGCCTAGCAATAACTCAGCAATTCTTTGTTGTTGTGTTAGGTGCCATCGAATCACTTCTGACACTTTGTACAACAGAACGAAACACTATCCAGTTCTGTGCCGTGCTGCTGTCACAGTTGTTGCTACTTGAGCCCATTCTTGCAGCCAGTGTGTTAGTGCATCTCGTTGAGGGTCTTCCTCTTTTTTGCTCACCCTCTACTTTACCAGCCATGACATCCCTTCTCCAGGTCCCTCCTGATAACATGTCCGAAGTACATGAGCCAAAATGTGGCCGTCCTCACTTCTAAGGAGCATTCTAGCTATTCTTCTAAGATGGATTTGTTCGTTCTCTTGGCAGTCAGTATTCTTTGCCAGCACCACAATTCAGAGGCATTGATTCTTCTTTGGTCTTCCTTATTCGTTGTCCAGCTTTTACATGTACATGAGGTGATCAGAAATACTATCTATGGCTTGGGTATTATGAATAAAGCTGTTGTAAAAATTTATTTATGTTTTCATTTGCCTTGGGTAAATGACAATTTACCCAATTCTATTTGTAGATGTTTACACCATGCAAATGAAAATGAATGAATTTTTACAATAGTTTTATTCATAATAAAAACTAAAAACAACACAATGACCACTAACTGGTAATTGAATAAACAAGTTTTGGTATGTCCATTTAATGGAATGCTACTCACCAATAGAAAAAAACAAAGCACTGACATACTCAGCAACTTGGATAAAGCTTCAAACTATGCTCAGAAATACACACACACACACATAAGATCACATCCTGTAGGTTTTCATTTGTGTAAAATTTTAGAATAGACAAAATTCATATTTAGTGAAAAATAGAAATGGTGAGCACTGGTCTTGCTAGAATGTTGTTGTTGTTGTTTGCCATCGAGTCGGCCCCGACTCATAGCGACCCCTCCTTGGGTTTCCGAGGCAGTATCACTACGAAAGTAGGAATGCCCAACCT